CAAAGTTATACGATAGCGTTTAGAAAAATCATGAGATCATGATAAATATGGCCAATTATTTTTAGCCATTTTGCTGTTCTCAATTTTCAAACACGATTGTTAGTAAAATATATTCTCGTCCCGATTATTAACTGTTACTAGCAAAGCAGTGGTAGCCCAGTGGTAACGCGCTCGCTTAAGAAACCGAGTGAAGCGTGTGTGATATTTTCATGTGCGAATCATTTCTAACATGATTACCACTAACTTAACGGTGAAGGAAAACATCGTGAGGAAATCTGCATGTCGGAGAGAACCTAGCAAATTTTCAAAAGACATGTGAAGTCCGCCAATCCGCACATGGCCAGCTTGGTGGACTATATATATAATACTAATATTATAAATGTGAAAGTAACTCTGTCTGTATGTTTGTTAACTCTTAAACCGATAAAAAGATTCAGATTGGAGTCGAATAAAGGCTACATTTTATCCCCATCCGCTTATACTATGAATGTAATGATATAAAATTAACTAGTATGTAATGATATTAATTAACAGTCTAGAGTCTAGACTCTAGCCAATAAACTGTATATATGCAAAAACCACGCTAATCCGTTGCTTTGATCTTATCATATGACAAAGGGACAATTTAGTAACTACGCTTTCGCAATTTTAATAGTCAGGCTTTTACATAAATGAGAAGATAATTCTTTTTCTTGTTACTTAATTTTATTGATGATAACCGACCTACCAACCTACCAATAAATATAATGTATTTTGATGAAATTTTCAGGGATCGAAATGCAGCGATAGAGCCAAACTGCTTCGAGTAGAGCAAAATTTATTTTTACACTTCCATCTTATGATTCTCGTATCATATACGATACTAAGTTATATGTATAAGTTTTTCATAAATACTCAGAGAACTAAAAAAATCTGTACATTTCTAAAAAAAAAAAAAACATTCGTCACGATTTTAGAATATTTATAAAATAATTGATCCTAAACACCCGTTACGTATTTATCATAATCGTATTTTAGAAGTAGGTTGATTTTTGTGTTTGTATATGTTCTTGAGATTGCTGACGTTTGGCCTATTTACTTTATCGTCAATCCACATGTTTTGTTTTAATCCCAATGTATAGTAACGTGTGGACCTCTACTTAATGACCAGTAGGTATGTACGAGTATGTCTCTAACAACTATTTAGTGTAAATAATTTGGAAGAATTTTGTTTACCTATGGTCAAAATAAAAACTGACATTTTTAACCCCCGACGCAATAACGATGGGGTGTTATTAGTAAGACGTATCTGTGTGTAGATGAACAATTTTGATTTGTTTGAAAGGTGATTTAGTCGGTGGTATTTTTAGCTGTTTGATGTAATTCGGTCCAAGATGGCCGCCGCCACGAAATGGCGGATTACATTTTTTTTTCACAACACTCTCAATATGGGTGTCAAACGGGCTTGACTAGTAGAATACTATACACTATGATAATTTTTAAATCCAAGATGGCCACCACCACAAAATGGTAAACAACATGTCGGAGGTTTTTTAAAGTTTTAGTTTAATTTAGTTCTATGTATAAGCAATTATAATTTTACTTTGTACATCAAAATAAAGAAATATTTTTATAACAGTTTTTTTCTAAAATTATTCTACAATGCCCAGATCGTAAGGTTATGTTACATTATGTTGTGATTGGATAAATAATACATTTAGTCATGGAGACAAAAAGGTTCCCATAGTATTATTATATAGAAGGGTGAGTTTTATCTAAGTAAGGATACCGCTGCAGTCGTTCTATAAATGTAATTTATATGTATAAGCTATAGTTAATATAAATAAATTAAATATATGATGACATGAAATAAGATCACTTTTCAACTTTTTTTAAGCAAATCAAAGTTGAACGCATATATACCTATATTCTGAAATTCAGTTTTTTTTATACATTATTATTATTTCACTTATTTCGACTCCTGTTTTGAAGTTTCAAAGTTTTGTGGTAAGAAAATCGATAATCAATTGTACACAATTTAATGGCTATATAAGTAAGTGGTCAGCTAAATATTCGGGGTTCGGTCTGCCCCAAGAGGTATTCTGCCTCCAAAATTATATATTGGTCAGCAAATAATGTCGTATTGAAAGCTCTAAAGTTTTTTTTATAGCTTAATATATGTGCATTAATATTCATACAGCTAAATAAAATTAAAGTGTCCGTTTTTAATAGCAAAATAATCGTTTTTACTAAAATATGTAAGCATATACAGTATTTATAAGAAAAATAAACTATTTTTTCGGATTTATTTTGTATTTTTGTAACGTATAAACTCAAAAACTACTGAACCGATTTAAATGAAGTTTGGTAAGAGAATAGTTTGAGATCCTGGAAAGGACAAAGGATATTTTTATTCCGAAAATCATCCTTTAAGGGGATGAAGCCGAAAGAAGCGAGGGTCAATCGCTAGTGTCAAATATTCGCAAACATCTAAAAAAGAAACCAAAACAAAGTTAAAGAAACCAATTTTAAAAATTTTGCCTGTTTGTTCCGGTTAATCTCGGAAATGGGTGGACCGATTTTAACAGGACTTTCATTGGCAGATATCTGATATTATAAGAATTACCTTGGCTTCTTTTATTTTGGAAAAATTAGGGTTCCGTGCAAATAATTAAAACCTATGAAATTGTAAACAAAATCTCTATTAAATAGTGACTTACCCTCGTTTCGCTCGGGTACGTAGGGATAAAAATATAATAAAGAGCTTTAAAAGAGAGAAAAAGTTTTAAAATTAATTTTAATTTAATTATTATTGTATTTTATTTTATCAACAGTAATTGATTGTAGAGAATAGTAGCTTGTAAGGTTAGAAATCCCAGAGAAACCCAGGAGAGTTTAAAAAAAAGACCTAACGTCATACATAGGAGGACTTGGCTTCGCTCCCCCCCAACATGCGTTCATCTCGTCGTGGTGGGGGGGCTCAGTAGTGCCCGGCAACCCAACCGGGCGCGAAGCCAAGAAACGCTCAGGGAGGTGGCCCACTTCGGTGGGCGGTGGGAGGTGGCCCTCTTCGGTGGGCGGTGTACCATGTGGGTTGCTCCTGGTACTTCTCTGATAGCAGAGTGGACCTTGAAGCAACCCCATGGTTGTGGTGGTCTACTTCGGCAGACCTGCCGTCGGGGCGTTGTAGTTGAATGTGTAAGCGATCCTGCGACGCCCCATTTAGACGGGGGAAGGTTTTGTTGGGTTAAATGCATTTCCCAACGTTAAAAAAAAGGACTTGGCTTCGCTTCCACCTTATACTTCTTTCCTTTCCAATAAATTATTTAATATGTTCATTAAGTTTTAGTCAATTTTGTTTTTAAAGTAATTTCATTTTGAATTCTTAAAGAGTGAGTTAAAGACTTAGTCTAGAAGCAAATAAAAAGTTTTAGTTTAAAGGTACTTTTATATATAATATAAGAATGTAACTGGTTTTATTGTTAAAATAAATATACATATATTACTAGTAGATAATTTAATAGCACACTGATCTGTCATTTATGAACTTTAACCCGTGATAATGACTGCTTATTAGGTACATAGTAAACAGAGATATTTTAAATGGCTCGCCTAGTGCTGTTCTTTGTGATGGATGAGAAAAACTGTTAAATAAATATAATAGGTTTTAATCCATATTATGTCGTGATGTTAACATATCTAACTAAACATATTTAATATGTACATATATGTATATATAGTGTGTGTGCGTGTGTGTGTATGTGTGTATATGTGTGTGTGTATGTGTGTGTGTGTGTGTGTGTGTGTATGTGTGTCTAAAACAACTAGACTTTGGATCTGATTTTGTACATAGAGAGGCCGGCAGGCAGTTAGAGACGTACTGAGCGTAGCGAGGATGACTTCCTGGTTAATTAATTATATAAGATGGTTGTCCCAGTAGTTTGGTCACATGAAGTTTTTTTTAAGCAAATTGCAAAATACTTAGCAAACTAAGTATATATAAAACGAACGAACAAGTCGAACGAAAAAGAAACGCTTAAAACTTTTTAGTTATTTCGACAGATTACCCAATCTACATGTATACATCATACATATAAAAACAAACAAACCTTTATCTCTTTATAATACACTGAGATTGAGATTGACGTTATACAGCTTCGAGAAAGACAAAAAAAGCTATTTTGTTCCGATCATATAGGTATGTATACGGTCTACACGGTACGGTACACACATAGACATACATGGTCATAGAATTAGCGAACTCTGTAATCATTTCTATATGACGTGTCGCGACATAGTTGTTATATCCATACTAATATTATAAATGTGAAAGTGTGTTTGTTTGTTTGTTTGTTTGTTTGTTTGTTTGTCCTTCTTTCACGTCGAAACGGAGAGACGGATCGACGTGATTTTTTTTGTGGAGATAGTCGGAGGGCTGCAGAGTGATATAGACAACTTTTTACTTCGGGAGAATTTTAATGCGTCAGCTTTACATCATTACGATGTAATGAATATTCACGTAAGAATCACATTCTGAACGTACTTAATTCGTTAAATGTCGAAACATAATTGATTTCAGAAATAAAATTAACAAACTAATTTTTGTAACATAGTGACTAAGATTTTTGTAACATAGTTGATAAACAGGTTTTGCCTGATTTTATAACGTTTTTTTTATCTTACTATTTAATTTCCATACGTAATATATCCAAAAGATATATTTTATAAGACTTATTTCGTAAATTTTCATAATAGTAGAATTATATAAAAAATATATTATTTATTTAAAGCTCCCTGTGGTTCGACAATAACAAGTGAAAAAGAAAATTTGCATTCGATCGTAAAACGAAAATAAAATCAAGTGAGCCGAGCACATGTGGTATGTTTTTATGACTACGATATGATACTTTTGATTAACAATAACTGAAATACATTACTGCGCTTACAAAAAACACGATAGACTAAAATTCGTCTCCTGTTTAAACTATAATATGTTATATTAAAAGTTTAAAAAATCTTACCCAGAACAGGTCCAACGATGAACATATATGCAAACATAATTAGTATGATCTGCAAGCGTCTGGATCCCTGTCGAGTTTTAAATGCTACGTTCACTGTGGCTACTAAGTCCTTCACTGAGAACATTGACAAAATTGTCTGGGGCTCTTCCTTATCTATTTTTTTTACGGCTTTCCCCTTCAATCTCAGAAGGATGTATACAAAACCAGTCATGTAGAAAAAGCACGCTACTGTAAAAACACCATAATAGCCGAAACGTCTAGTCATTATTCCACTAAGGGCAAGCCCAATCGGCCTGCTAAGAGTCAGAATAGCTGTAATGATTCCTAAACGAAAAGTCCGCTCGGACTCACTTGTTATATCTGTAATGTAACTGTACACAGCCATCGTCATGGCTACGCGCCCACCAGCCAGCGCTGGAGGAAGGCCTTCGATTAAAGCAGTTTCGTTGAGACCAACTTTTAGGAAGAATACTGTACTCAATATAATACCAAATATTGAAATTAATTTTCCTAATATTGGAATAACCATAAAGCTTTTTCTGTTTCCTGTACGATCGCTCCAAGCACCCACAAAGAGGGTCAATATTCCAGGTAGTGCCGTCTGCAGTGGAAAGCTCCAAGCTGTCATACTAGCAACCATCTTTTGAACGTTTTTCTCTTGTTCGGTGTAGTTGAAGGTGCGTCCCTGCATTATATGATCGCATGTTTGGACGTCGTATTTCAAATTCACTAAACATGATTTTTCTAAACATAAATTCTGAACAGCCAATCCCGCTAAAACACTCGGTAACACATAACATATTACATACGGTTCCACTGTCACTGTCGATCTCAGAGCCCATGTTTTTTTTATGAATTCTTTCAATCTCCCATTTAATTTTGCTTCAGATTTTGTTATTTCGCTATCGTAAGGTTTGCACTTGCATGATTCTAAATTCACAACTTTTTCTCCGGGTACCTCGACCCGCAACGTCATTTTGATTATTGATTTCGAGTATCCAGTCCATTTGTTTTTAACATACTACACGAATATAATTTATTATAAATATTTTGTATGTCTGTGCTAATTATTATTATTAAAAAATATTACACGAGATTATAACAAGCAGTCGCGAGCGAACGGTGGCGCATGCGACAATAGATTGCCAGTTAAGTAGTTACGCAGCGACTGTTTTGGTTGGCTTTGTCTCCACTACTGCCTATCAGCTGGCTCTCGCTACCATTTAGTTTACATTTATTTTATCATATTTCTCGACGTTAATTTTGGTTTATGTATGGAATATACATATGTAAATATTTTATTGATATATAGTTATAGTTAATCTTTCCATAACTTATTTTCGAAATTTCTAAATCTATCTAAAGACAGTTTGGCGTAATATAAGTAAATCATTTACCTACGTGCTTTAATCAATACAAACGCAATATGCAGACGTCACGTACATATACGTCCTAATTTTTTTGTAAAGTCGGTCAAGATGAAAATTGTGTAATGATTTAAATTAGATGCTATTGACAGTTGTTATAATTTGTGAATGAGCTCATAACAAAAAGGCAAAAGGCAATTTTGGCCTCAAGGTTTCAATTGAAATTGCTCTCTTTCCTTAAATTTATTTTAAGTTATATTAGATGTAACTTTATTTTAATTTGTAACAGTCTTTCGCAATTCATTTTTTTTGTTATAATATTATATCACTCAGCTATTGTTATATTTCTCTGAGAATCACCATTCTACTCGACATCATCATTCGTGGACATATTATTGCACGTAAAAAACACAATTGCTGAAATTACAACGTAATCTAAAGAAAATTTAAAATTATGGGATTTGTTCATTAAAACTAACTAAATAACTTTTTTATAAAATTTTCTAATACTCTTAATTTTAATTGTAGTTAGTTATTGGGGATTTTTTTATATATTATCTAACATAAAATTTTGAAAGATATTTCCAGAACTTCGACTTTAATTAATAGAAAGCTACATTATTATTATATCATGTGATTGTTAAGGGATATTAGTTTTTCTTAAAAATTCTAGAAGCTTGAAAGGTGGTGTATAGCACCTGCACCTGAGCAAGCGGTAATATGTATTTTTGAAGACTTAAAATTGAAGAAGTACTTAATTCCCGTGTACTATGTCCTCTTTGTATGTTTGTTTTTTTTATATGTTGTTGGGACATTAACACATACCACAATCTAGTTCCATGGTAAGCTACGAGGCCTGTGTTATGGATACCAGATAGTTGATACACTACATATATATAATTTTAAATACACACATATTATAAATATAAACACCCATGACTGAAGTACAAACATTCGTGCTCATCACACAAATGAATGCCCCCAGCGGGACTCGAACCCGCGACCGCTGGCACAGCAAGCAGGGTTACTACAAACTGAGCCAAACGTGTCATCGTAAATTGTTAGGAGACGGCTTTGTCAAATATGAATTAATGGGCCCTTGAATTTGCCGCTAGAGGCGCTAGTGTAGAGTGAGGTCTCTTGAACTGTCAAATGACACTGTTTACTCTTTGCGAGCTTTTCATCGCGGAACTTTATTAATTATTCATGATTATTATAAAGAATGCTCCATTCTTGATTAATTACGGCAGAAACAGCTCAATAAATGTTATTGCTTTAAAAGAAGAGTTATTATATTAAAATGCTGATAGAACTGTTTTCAAGCCAACAATTATGATTATTATATTAAATTTACTAGGCTTGCCGCACTAACAAATACTTTTACAAACGACAGCTATAGGACCCTACTCGCTAGTGGCCCCAACTAGTGCTACCAGAAACGATAGCTCTCATGGTTTGCTCACTCCTAACGGCAAAAGAATTACTTTTAAAGTGTAGTAGATATTCGGCATAATCATACGTTCAGTCAAGGTCTGTCAGTCAGGGAAATAGACGAAGTACCTAAGTTAAAAACTTAAAATATGCTTTTGAAGTATAAGTATTCTGACGCATAGGAAATATAATATATTTTGATACGTAAAATACATAGGTACTTACCTATTAGATATTCATATCTTAAAATATTGTCCGCTCGCACCGACTTCGAAAATATCTGATTAGGTATCTATTTTAAATGAAAGCCCCCGTTTAAGTTATTTTTTACATTTTAGTGCCTGGAAGTCGGTTTTATTTTTTGTTAAAAAGTTTTTATTTTTAAATTTTTAGTGTAGACGTAATAAGCAGGTAATTTGTAGGAAGAAAGTTATTAATAACATATTCGATTAAGCAATTAGTTTAAAAAATATATTTATTGTTGATTTTTTTTAAAACTGCCTGACTGATATCGATAAAATTTATATGAGTCCACCTGGGAAGTATACCCTTTCAAACAAAACAAAAAAATTCCAAATCGGTTCAGAGTTCTTCGAGTAATCGGTGAACATACATAAAAAAAGATTCCGACGAATTGAGAACCTCCTCGTTTTTGGAAATCGGTTAAAAATAATAAAAAGGTTCTTTTTTCAATTTTAGTACGAAATTTTTTGACGTCTTGTCATTTGCGTACGCACCAATAAAACGTTAAAAACGAATATAAACTTTGTTTTATTTTTGAATATAATACTTAGCACATATTCATTACAGAAGATGTTTTAAAATCTTTTAAACACAGCAGTTTGCTATACACCTATATTTATGATGTTACATTTTAACTTGTTTCTTTCGTGCCTCTAACTGGAATATAAAATTTAATTAGATATTCGTGTTCCTCGGCCAGGCTTAACCAAGGGTTGACATTCATAAACTTATTAATACTTACTCGTGTTCCTCAAGTGGTAGAAAATTCATTTACTCATTTTACAGCTAAATCTATATCTAAATCTATATCTATATCTAAAGCTCTTCGATAGCTAATAAACAAAAGAAATCAAAAGATAATCGATTGAAAAACAGAGGAGAAAAAGGCACCTACTGAACTCTTTGGTTTTTACCTATCTACTGTATATAAAAAAAAATAAAAAAAAAATTGATAACACTATGGCTCGTCAATAGCTAAACAAAAAATGCTAATTTGTTGACAAACAGAGAAGACAAAGGTCCTGAACTCTTTTTTATCTATATCTATTTAATTATATATTGTACTCAGCCCTTTTTAACGTCTCACTGCTGGGCACGGGCCTCCTTTCAGTACGAGGGGGATGAAGCCATAGTCCACCACGCTGGCCAAGTGCGGGTTGGCGGGCTTCATATGACTTTCGAAAACTGATTAGGTTCTCTCAGACATGCAAGTTTCCTCACGATGTTTTCCTTCACCGTAAGATAAGTGGTAATCAAGTTGTTGTTGATTCGCATGAAAATATCACCGACTCAGGACCCGGGATTTTGAAACCGATTCACTCGGCTTCCCAAGCGAGTGCGTTACCACTAGGTGCTATCGCTGCTATTTATATAATATATAGATAAGGGTATTTATGACAAAACATGTTTTGTATTAAGAATAATAATAATTTAGACATTTCTAACGTATCCAGCTTTCACTGGTTCAAAGTTTATATTATTAAAATTATATTAATTATTATCAAAAACAATATACAATAAGTTACGTAATATCACTTAGTTAGTATATTTTTATTACGCACGTAATACAACTACATCTACATTGCTAAACAAAGCTCTGACGACTATTACAGTAAATTATCAACAACTTATTGCTTTCTTAGCAGCTCGTTTGGCTCAGTTTGTAGTAACCCTGCTTGCTGTGCCAGCGGTCGCGGGTTCGAGTCCCGCTGGGGGCATTCGTTGGTGTGATGAGCACGAATGTTTGTACTCCAGTCATGGGTGTTTATATTTATAATATGTATGTATTTAAAATTATAGATATGTAGTGTATCAACTATCTGGTATCCATAACATAGGCCTCGTAGCTTACCATGGAACTAGATGGTGCTGTGTGTTAATGTCCTAACATATTTATTATTTATTTATTAGTCGTTAGTTTCTGAATATTTATGATTTGTATGATTCATATATTATGGTGATGTTTGATTTAAATATTTATTTTACATTATTATTTATGTATAGCGCTGTTTTCTTCGCGTTATAACTCCTTTGCGGAAAATTTAACGATTTATATATAAAATACAATTTTTTATAACAATAATCTAAATGAAATTTTAACACAAATTGTTTTCCAATATATTCAAAATTATTTAAAACCTGTAGCAGATATGCAATTGTAGAAATGTAGATAAACTGATGATGTCAGGTTTTTGTCATTAAAAAGTAAACTGACTTTAAAATTCTGGTGTTATTCAGCAACATTAAATTATATTTAAAACTAGCGACTCACCCTGGCTCCGCTCGGTACGTCCCTACTTACGTTTTCACGTCTGGTAGTATAGATTTCTCAGGGATGAGATATTTTCCCGCATTAAAAAGTATCCTATATGTTGACCACGGTAGCCAGCTATCATCATACCAAATTTCATCAAAATCCCTCCACTGGTGATGCGGTAACAGACAAACAGAAAGACAGACAGACAGAAATACAGACAGATAAAAACACTAAAAAACTATAGATTCGGCCTCTGTATCGATAATAATGTCTATTTCAATAAGATTTTCCAAAAACTATTTAATGTACAGATTCGGCTTAGTTACAACTTTATTATATTTTTAGATGTTAGCCTAGCAAAGTAAGAATAAATAATTAATTCACTTCGAGTCTAGTATCTATATCGGTACCTACATATTATGGAATTAACTTTGGTTGATTTTCATGTGCTAATAATATTAAAAACATAGTGAGTGAGTTTATTTTTTAAATTTTAACAGGCCTACTCTTAAAATCTTGTAATTTAAGGGTAGTCCCGTTTGTCCCTATTAATTAATCCTTCTACAACCACGGACACGCCGGCGTGTCAGTTAACAATAGATTTCTTAGAAATTTAATTAATTTCTTAGAAATTTACCCGGAGGTGTTAAAAAAAAGCATTATAAAAGTTGATTCACA